GGGGTTATATAGGGATACATGGGGATATATGGATTGGATGGTGTTATTTGGGGATCATAAAGGTTATGTAGGGTCATATGGGGTTTGTATAAGGATCACAGGGCTACTACCCTCCAATCATCACATGGAACATGAAATGGAAGCTGCATGGCAGAAATTACAAGGTGCCGGACAATAGGTCTTATTCATGAGGTCTTCGTGATTTTGGTCATAGCCCAGGTGCATCCCCAAGCAAAAAACCTTGAGAGTCGGATTGCATTGCCGTGTTACTCGAAGGCTTGGGATGATCCCTCCCCACAACAGAACTGTCATTCCCAATACTTAATGTAGACCCGGTCCGTGTATAATGTAGTTATAGAGGGATAAAATTGGGATAATGGAAAAGAATATGGAAACTACTTTTTAGGGTTTTAGGGTTTGGGGAGAGCATCAGCGAAGGCAATAGATTGTTTTAGGGAACTGCTTCCGCAGCCTCGACAACAACATCACATAGATGCACGTAGCATACCAGTTGGTCATGAAGCTATATCAGGAAAACGGATGATGGCATTTGGGAATTCGTCAAAGTAGTCCTTCTCTGTCATCCAGAGAACCTCAGATATTAGCCTTGTTGCTTCCCATCTTATTATCAACAGTGGCTCTTCAGGCTAGCCGCCTTCACTTCATCGGGGTTTGGCGCGAGCGCTACGAGGAGCACCTTGGAATTCTCCGCGTTGCAGCTTTCACTTGCAGCGACCTAGGTAGGAACAGCCCAAGATACGACCAGTTGAAATCCTATAGTCTCTTGTACTTCCTACTTTGGATAACACGAGTGATTCGTAATATAGCAACCAAGCCGACAATGCACCCCAGGCCTTAAATTAATAGCCCGCGCCCAAAGACCTTGTCCACACACCCTTAAATTGACGAAGCATAGTGTTTTCAGTTTCCTTGCATGGCACATATGTGCCATGAAGACTTGAGCAAGAATGATCAGGAATGTAACGGGAGGCCAGCGCAATTCCTCTCGAGATCATGCGGATGTGATGTACCCATCAACTAGACTGGAACCTGCGCGTAGGACCTGACTGAACAAGGTATCCTCTCTGGTCTTGCTTCTTGCTTCTCAGATGCTAGACTCCCTGTGGAACTAGTACGTTCAGGGCGCAAAGGTGATTCTTAGGCCCATAAACTGTCCAAACCTCAAGTGGGAATGCCACTTTCCCGCATTTGAACCACTTAAGAGGAGATCCTCGACAGCCTGCCTCCGCCGCCACCGCGCCCTGCCACGGGCGGCAAGTCGGCACCCCGCCTGTTTAGGGTTTAGGGCTTTGGGTTTAAGGTTTAAGGTTTAGGATTTGGGGTTGCTGGCAAGTAATAAAGCAATGGAAAAACATTAAACATCAGGTTGTCAGGGGTTTAGAGGCTACTATAGGATCCGTTCCTGAGGTCCCTACTAGATCAGTAAGAATGAAGACAGGCAGTTGCAACATCCAGGTCCGCTTCCAAACCTCGCATCACTAGAACCCTTGTTTGCGGGACTCTCAAAAAACGGCGATTCAACTCTTGCGACTCTTCCGCACTTTATTTCAAGCATGAGCAAACCAAACCGAACCCATGAGCCCCGCCAGCTGCGCCCGCGAGTCTCTTTGTTCTTTAAGCTTTCTTGTGGCCCAGGGCTGTGTCGGGATGGGAAGCAGGATTTTAATCAGGCAAAGATCATGCTTCTCTCTCGGAGAGGTTTAGCTGCGGTAATTTATTTTAGAAATTTCTGGGCTGGGCCTGTTCCTCTATATATATATATATGTTCAGAATACTCAACCGAAGGGCCAAGTTGTTGATAAACATCGATGTCTGGGCAAGAGCGGTTGACTACTAATCTATCCTACCAGAATCAAAATACCCTTCAGTCGTATTGTTTGAAGAGCCTCCAAGTCAGAGTTGGCCCCTAAGGCGTTTGCACATGGTGACTGTTGAGAGTACTTCGGGTACGTGGCCCTCATAAAGCACATATCATGCCCCTGAAGCTTACATACTACCTGAGAAGCCCCCCCCCACCCACCCGCAACCCTGAGGTGTTTGTACATATTGATATGGATTGCTTCTTCGCAAGTGTCGCAGTGCGCGGCCGGGCGAAGATCTTTGCAGGCACGACTAGACTTGGCCCGGCGTTCAGGTTAGGTTGATGGTAATTGAAGATAATCTAGGGGTTACTGTATATAGGGAGAATGGAAAATAACATGGAAACGACTACAATTTTTAGGGTTGCAGGGCTTAGAAGTTCAGGGACTGGGAAATCAAATGGAACATGAAGTGGTGACTCGGGGGTCCATGAGAATATGTATGTGGTTTCAGGGTTGTCGGTTGTGAACAGGGAATCCTTCAAGGACTAGTAAAGAACGCGGAAACAACCACTATGGGCTATTAGACCGTAAAATTCCGTACTAGGACCCTGTTAAGGGTAGATTAAGGTACTCTACAGGTCTGATAGCCCATAATGGTATACCATTGGCGCTGATATAGGGATCCATTCCCAGCAACCAGCTAGTACTTAGCAGCAAGAAAAAGGTATACTGCCCTCACAAGGTATGGTGAGGCAGTTGACTGAGAAACACAATTACTAGGTTTACTTGTAGACACATTGCAAAGCCCCAAGCCCTAAACCTCAGAAGCACCAAGATTTGGCTGCTCTGATGCGAGAGAACGTATTGAGCCCCAAGCGCTGCTTCTCACGTTGATGACTGACCTCTTGATCAAGACTACTCAGTCAGCTCAACCTTGAGCAATAAGGGCATGTTCAAGGGCCCTCCCAATTTTGTGAGCTGGGGTCAACGAGCCTCTTATCTTCCATGATGCAAACGCTGTCCCTCACCATAAAGGTCTGCCTGTAGCCGTTGCATGGGGCACCGGCAGCAGCAGCGAGATTTCATCGGCTAACTACTGCGCCCGGTCTTTCGGTGACATGGCTGATACAGAAACTAGAAGTAGCACGACAAGTGGTGGTCATGGTGGCGGCGGTGGTGCTCGCTGGTTGCTGGCATGAGAGCGGTTGACGCACTAGAGGTTGCACAAAATCCAGCAGGTCCTGTGAGATTCCGAAACAATCCAGCATGACTAGAGCCTTCTATTCTATCAGGGACCATTCGCATAAGCAACAACCATCGACCAATAAATTCTGTTGCTGTTGCCATGCAAAAGAGCTGCCAATTGCTGAGGCGTCCGAGCCGGCATGTGGGCGGGAGAAGCCTTCCAGTTGTGTCCGGACCTGGTGGTTATGCCCTACGAGTTTGACTCCATCATGGAGACAGCGGAGCAGTTCTACACCAGCGTACTTGAGATCACGCCCTATGTGCAAGGCACCTTTGCGGAGACGATACCCATTTATCTCCTTTGACTTGTAGATACGCACTGAAACAGTTTTTGATCACAGCCCTGCAATCCGACTCTTATGTTCATATCCAGCTTTGCATTTTTTTTGCGGGCAGTCGTCGCATTTGCTCATGTCGTGCACGCAGGATTCCCTAAAGCCACAGCATCATAGGCCCGAACAATAGACGCTGCCCCCATTGGAGTTGTACATGGGTGACGTTGGAAGTTGCGAAGGGTCTACCACAGCCGGCCTGGATGCTGTTTTGCATCCTGCAAGGTTCCTAGCTGGGGAGACTCTCCAGGAGTTATGAGGTTGCACATTGTCCCCTAGGGGGTTTACATCACAGATTAGAGTCGTGCTCATCATGATTCATAAGGGGCTTTTGTGTCGCCACCCCCAAACCTACAATCCCATGATAGTTTTTGATAGTTTTAGGCTTGTAGTTTTAGGGTTACAGTGAACTGAAATCCCCCAGCTCTAGGAGCCTAGGAGCTATATGGTACTTTCCCAAAATAAGGGGACCCCAATTTAGACCCCAATATACTATAGTCCTTATTATGGGGACCCCCAAAACGGTACCCCCAATTTTGGGAAACCCTAATGCCTATAACGCCCTACATAATCCCAGCTTCCATTTCATTTTCCATTTTCTTTTCCATTTGATTCTCCATTATAGTAGGTACCCCGAATTTTGGGAAACCCTAAGCCCTAAATAGTAGCTTCCATTTTATTTTCCATTGTCCCAATATAATCCCTATATTAAACCCCTATATAACCCCTATGTAACCTATACTTCCCAGGCATCTCCTGCGACGAGGTTTTCGCGGATGTCACGCACCTCGTCCAGGACCCGGACGGTCACTTTGGGGCCACCATAACTTACTGGTTTAGGGTTTAGGGGTTTAGGGTTTAGGTTACTGGTTCTTAGCAGGGAATATGGGAATGTATTTTGGAGGGATTATTTAGGCATTATAGTCTCTTATTCCATACTAAGAACCAGTAAGACAAAGAAAATTAGCAGGCCACCACGACACTGTAGCTTACAGTACTTCCCTGCCTTTAAGTTTTTTGCGTTGAAGCGGAGCCTGAAGAGAAGTCTATAGGTTTTGTGGCTTATTGGGGCCAAGGTTCAATGTCCTGTAATTAATTACATGGGAAATATTGTTTGTATCACCCATGCAAATAGAGTGGCAAGGGAGAGGGAAGTGATGGGGCCAACCCTAAACCCTACACCTTGAGAGCTCCTATGCGCCCCACAGTACTCCGCGCACAAACCCTACCCCAGATTCCCTGGATGAACCCAAGAAATCCCAACCCCCAAACCCAACCCCTAGTTCCCATTGCATTTTCCATGTCCTTTTCCACTTGATTCTCCACTACGTGGGTGATATCCCTATGATCCCTATAGAATCTCCATATAACCCTATATAACTCCATTTAATCCTCATGTAGCCCTATAGATCCCTAAAGACCCCCGTAAAGCCACCTAAGCCCCCAAAACCTGTCGAGGACGATGTATCATCTTGGAAGGCACTCGCGCGGAAGATACGCAGTGACTTTGATTCAGGGTTTATAGGGTTTGGGGTTTCGGGTTTAGGGTTTAGTCAGATATAATTTTGGTTATTGGGATCTCATTTTGACGTGTGGAAGTTCCATATTCTATCTACCAAAGGGAGACTGGATGCAAGGTATGTAAATCTACTCAGTACTTGCGTGGGTAACCTTCAAGCTTTTGGGCAATGTTCCAGATGATCAGGAACCTCCACTTGCTCCCCCTGGCGAACCACCACTGCACTTGACCCACCCGCCCGTGGTCCTTCCCTACAACTTGGGACCCCAACTGGCTGACACTGCTCTGTCAATACCTCATTGAACTTCAGTGGCCAGTGGACGGCGGAACCAGGGAAGATGTCCATTATTGAGCTCATGCTGGATTTACTCATTTGCTTCAACTGGGCTCTCAGTTCCTCCGCGATATACCGGCCCACGCCCGGCGTTCCACACATGCATTCCATTACCTTCCCGCACCGTCTCAAGCGAGGCAACTCCCGCCTCAAATGCTGACACACTGCTGACTAATTACGCTGCTGATATCAAACCAGTATTGTTTTGGATGGAAAGTGGGGCTAGAACAACGTGGTTCCCGCCCTTGGTCTTTGTCCGCCACTCTTGTCTGGAAACGTGGTATCTGAATTGCTTAGCAGTACCCCTAAATCCGGGGCTAGGTCGTGAAGATATGCATTGCGCATTCCTGTATCGGTCTCCCGCCCTTTTCCACCCGAGTTGAGGGTTTGGCGTGTTTGATTAATGCATGCTGTGCATAGAGTGTCCCACGCGAACACGCTCGAGGCACTCAATAGACAAGGAAGCGCTACATAATTTTGAGGTTCATTTAATACTACAATTCGAACAGTTGATTTTTTCGGGCCAGAAACATGCGCAGCTTCTAGCCTACTATATGGACTAGATGTATGACATTATATTTCACTCTTCCTTGTGCTTGGGTAGTTTTCGCATTCAGGCTTTTCCTTTGCCGGTTATCATGAAAAATCAAGGCAGTGCCCACAAATTTTGATTTTTCTAGCCAGCATCACAGAAACCAAGGCGATATCTGGCTCCTGGGCGGCAGTTTCAAGGGATAAAAAGGTCAACGTGGAGGCATCCTTAGGGTTTCATGTAGGGATCAGCATGCGGCAGGACCTTTAGGTATGCGCCGGTGAGTGTTGACACTGATAGCTACCACACTGCAGAGCTTCCAAGTTGTGAGTTATTCAATGTTTTTGACATAAAGACACCCCCTGTTCAGGGTCTGCTGTTGGGCCCGTGCGTTTTGGCATTTTTTGGCAACTACCCTTGCCGTTGCCGGAAAATCACTCCCTCTTTTCACGTGCTTCGGTTCGGATTAATGGTGTTGACAGGCTTCGTTGGGCAAGTGTACCTGCAACTTCCTGGTCTTGCCATTGTTCATGACAGCCTGTTTTGGTACTAACTGCTACTCGCCTTCATGAATGCATTTGCCATCAGTGGGCTACAAACACGCGAAACGGCAAACCCCAATCCAACAAAGGTTTTCGGATCCCGAAAGGGAGATAAACAGGAGGGTCCTATAATCTGTGGGCATACGGTCGCTTTTAAATCCCTGCGTTTGCGTCTAACTTCTCAGGAATCGGACCGGATGTGTTGCCTCCATTGGCGTGGCCAAAAATCGGCTGCTAGCCAGGCCAAATCGTTCAATACCCCTCGATGAAGCCTCCAGACCCACAAATACTGTTGATGGAGGAAATCTTGCAAAGTCCCAGGAATTACAGTAGTTTAGGGCCCCGAGGTGGTGCAAGATTTCATCCATCAGCAGTATTGAACATTCCCCCACGGGAGTATCTTGTTTTTCGTCGGGGGTGGGGCTCTTGTTCCTGCGGTAGGGGCGCAAGCCATATGAGTTGTGGTCTAAACTCCTTAATGGGGGTTATACATTATAGGGGCGTAGTATAGCGGTTGCCAAGGATACTAGGAGTTTAGACTATCGCTCATGTCATTATTTCAGCTATGTCCTTGAAGCATATGGGGCAGATCAGGTCTTTGAATTCTCCAGAGTGAATTCAGGTAAGGGCTTCAAGTGAGCTATAGTCTGAACTCCGAATATCCGCCTTAATTCCCCCCAAAGTACACTCCTATATTAAATCCCCAAGATAAAACCCTCTAAGGAGTTTGGACTCTAGCGGAAGTGAGGGGTATTGCATGCAGCCTCTGGGTAGGCTCCATTCCCAGCAGAGTGTGTTGGCCAGGGGCTTTCTCATTTTACATGTGTTAGCACAGAGGAAACAATGTGTTGAGATTTCGTTGAGTCGCCTTGGAACCTGATGCTGCAAAACGGCAGTTTCCCCCAATATAGTCCCCAATATATAATATATATTATAATCCTTATTACGGGCACCCCAAGAAATGTAATATACCTTATATATAAACCCCATATCCCCTTAAAATCTGCGAGCCAGGCTGGCGACAAAGTTTGCCAAACCCGGACCAGGATGCGCGAAGTGCGGGGAAGCTGCACTGAGCCGCGCGGGTGAGGAACGCGAGTTCCGATCATGTGGGGACCACCCAGGCAGGGGAGTAGGCCCCATGTGAGCCATAGTCTCAACTCCTTCAAGGGGGTTATATGGGGGATTATATAGGGGAACTATTATTGGGGTTATTAAGGGGGATACTAGGAAACTAGACCATGGCTCATATGAAATGGGGGTTGTGGGTGCTCTATCATAATTTTAGGGACCGCCTGGAGTCCTTCAGCTATCAGCTACGGCTGCTATCCTTTCAACTCTTTCAAAACCAACACTGACTCCTTTGTGCGTTCCCCTGACGAGGCGTTTACCTGTTGGAGGACGCGGGGAACGATGGATGTTCAGCTCCTGTCGTTACAAAACCCAGATGCAGGTACAATGGGGGGCTTGCAATACTGACTGTGCAGAGTTATCCACGATTGAACCAATGCTGCCCCTTCAGGTATGTCTGGCGTTTTAGCAGTCCCTGACATCCCTGATCGCCAAGAAGCCTAAGCCCAAACCCAAACCCAAGGTCCCAACACGCCTTGGCCGCAGCCCCATGAAGTCAGAGCCTGTGCAGGCCTCACAGAGCCCTCACAAAAGTCAGAAGGATCCTAGATTAGGGGCCTCACATAGAAATGGGGATGCCGCAGAATGTTCGTGGGACATTGTGAGTGTAGGAGCCTTCACGATTTGTATACCCAGAATCCTCAGCCCCTACATCACCTGCTCTTTGGGCTGCTTATACACAAGCCTCTTCGCCCTCCCAAGTAATTATGGATTGTTTGTGAGAAATATAAACGGATCCCAACTGTATAGTAGCCCCGGTAAAGTTGCCAATAGTGTAGTGGCGCCCATGTTTTGCCATTCCATCCTTTCCACATGACAACCACAAGTTCTTCCTAAACCACATATAAGCTATAGTCTAAACTCCTTAAGGAGGGTTAAGTAGGGGGTTGGTTATATAGGGACTACTATAGGGGTTATTAAGGGGGATACTAGGAGTTTAGACTATGGCCTCTGCGTTCCAAAGGCAAGTTGCTTTACTAGTCAGTTTTCCACTCCTTACTAGCAACCAGTAAGTTAGCCCCGAACCCTACATCCTGCAGATATGGTACTTGCCATTGCCTTTTCCATCCCTTCATTCCCGACTACTCGAAGCGAGTAATCCACCCCCTAATATTTAAAACCACCAACCTCCTTGTATAAGATATGCCCATTTTGGTATACCATATAGCGTATTTTGAATATTTGCCATTTGGGAGATAAACTTAAAACCCTTTATTAGTATGAGGGTGCGGGGATTCCAGGAGACCACAGAGGCCTTGGCGGCGCTCCCCGCCCGTGAGCTCCCGGGCGTGGGCCCGGAGAGCGAAAAGCAGCTCCAAAAGACAGGTAGGGAGCTTGTGAAAATGGTGGGCTTATTCGGTCTTCTTAATAAATCCATAAAGGGGTTGTATACTTCATCATATAGGGTTTTGATATGGTTGTATAGATTTTTTACGTTGCAAATCCTTCAAAAGGCTCTATAGAGGGTTTTCCTGGGGTCTTGATATGGATTTATGGGGTCTGGTAGAGGCCGCAACAGTCCGTCGATCGCGCTTGAACAGATGTTCACACTGTATGAAATATCCAAACCTGGGGAGTATTGGCCGATGCCTAATGTGTCATTGGTTGCAGAATTCAAGACAAAGTTGAGGTTTTTGAGAAAGGGAGTGCTGCATGGTGTCTTTATTTGGCGCACAACTTTCAACATGTTTCAATCAGCCACTCGTATTTGGATCGCTGGCAAGGAGTGCACACTGTGGGCGACTTGCGCGGTCTTTCCCTGGCAAAGCTCCGGGGGCTCTTCGGCGAGAAGCAGGCGCAGTCCCTCTCGCGGCTCTGCCGCGGAATTGATGATCGGCCCTGGGATCCACGTCCTCCCCGGAAGTCTGTGGGCGCCCAGATCGCTTGGGGCGTACGCTTCGAGGACGTGCCCGCGCTCCGCCGCTTCGTGGCGGAGCTCACGGAGGAGGCTCTGCGGCGTCTTACGCGCCATGGTTCCCGTGGGAGCTCGCTGACCATCAAGGTGTGGAAGGCCCGCCCAGATGCCCGACCCCTGGGCGGCGTGGGCAGCGGCGACTGCGACATCATCTCGCGTTCGGCGCAGTTTGCCATAGATCCTGGGCATTCTGCGGCGGTGAAGAACACCTCCGCAGAAGTCTGGAGACTCTGTGAAAGCACAGGCGCTTTGCCACCGCAAGTTCGTGGATTTGGGATCCACATTGGGGGCCTGGAGAAGTCCCAGCCAAGCCTCTCTTCCCTGTTTGAAGGCAAGAAAGGCCCAACAGACTCAGAGAAATCTTGCGAGCAGCCTTCGGAAAGTTCAGCCATCACGCCTACAACGTCATACGGCCCCACAGCGGAGAAAGTGATCCTGCACCTGGATGTCGACTGCTTCTTCCTGGCCGTGCACGAAAAGTACGACCCTTCCCTGAAGGAAGCCTTGAAATTGTTGACTCACATTTTGGTATGTTTATGAAAAAGCACGCACATCCAGTACGTAGATCTCACTATTTATGGGACTCAGGGTGGTGCAGCTCAAGCTCTATTTGCCCTGCCATACTAGTGAGGCCTAAACCCCAAAGCTTCTGGCATCCATGCGCTGAGTCTGCACTGTCTATATATATATATATACACAAGGGTCGCTGTACTGGTTTAGGGTTTGGGGTTTAGGGCCTTCCATAAGTAGTAACGCCTTACCTCAAAGAATTTCAGTTTGTAACCACGACGAGGTTTGTAACCTTTGGTGTTGGGTCCCCCATACGATGATCAAGAGCTGAGTATTATTTTATTCGCGGGTACCGTGGTACCCACTATTCATTATACACTAAGATGTTATTCTCCTTTTGGGGTATAGTATTTATATAAGAGATATAATCTAACTGGGTTCAGCCGCCAAAAACAAATGCTCCTCAGCGATATTCCAAGGTTTAGGGACCCTAAACCTTAAACCCTAAACCCTAAACCCCAAAAGCGCAGGAAGCCGGCCCCCTGGTTCTCTGGCAATACAATGATGTCATTTGCATCAGCCCAGAGGCAAAGGAGCCTTGGACAGCAAACATGACTCTGTTTAGGGTTCAGGTTCAGGGTTTAGGAATTAGACTCTTAAACCCTGCTTTTTTAGGATAGCTAATTTTGTGTATAGAAGATACCAGATGTAAAGTTAGGTTTGGTACCTTAAAAAGGCTTAGGGTATAAGCGTCTGGGTAAGAGTCCAAGGACTAAAAACGCGGAGAATTGGGGCCAAACGGGCTCCTATATCGATACTTTGAAGTTCTGGACCTCAACTACTACTTGAGTACTTTGTGACACATATGTTGTAGGGTTTTGTGTGTCATGGTTCAGGCTTCAGGGCTCCGGGTTCGGGCTTTGGGCTTAGGGAGTTTAGGATTAGGGTTTAAAGCTCGCGGTTTAGGTCTTAGGGTTCAGAATTCAGGGTTACCGCTGAGTGAAGCAGTTTGCTACAGGGTTTGGTCAGAACCTTTCACACCTGACAGTGCCCGAGCAATAGAGACTGCAAGCGTGGTCAAACTCACGGTGGCTACATGAGCCATACTAGTCTCCTTCAAGGGGGTTATATAGGGGACTATCATAGGGGTTCTTACGGGGGATAGTAGGAGCTTGGACTATAGCTCACATCAAACTTCTTAGAACAGTCCGGACAGCTTGCCTTCCAAATTCTGAATTGCAATCCCCAAGCCACTGTAAAACTCAAGCACCTATGAAGCCTTTCCCATGTACAGCCCAACCCGGCAAATCCCCAACCCCATCAACGTCTTATCATGTTTACGTTATTTGTGTGAGAACAAGTCTTACTGCTAGAGTATATAATATGGTAGTTTTCCAAAATTAGGGGGACCCCAATATAGACCCCAAAATACTATAATCCTCATTATTGGGACCCCCAAGATGGCCCTCCATATATACAAGCCTATCTATCCTGAGAGGGGCTATATATCACCATATAATCTGCACACAATTCCTATAGACCCCATTTATCCCCCTGAAAAGGACCTTGAACTCCAAGCCCCAAACCCCAAACCCTGAAACCCTAAGCCCAAACCCTTAAAACCCTAAACCCTCAAAGCCTAGGCAGCCGGAGTCAAGAAACACATGCGGCCTAGTGAGGCACAGCCCCTTGTGGAGCCTTAGAGGAACGCTGAATGTTTGTATCCTCAACTGTTTATGGTTTAGGGCTTGGATATAGGGCTTAGGATCAAACAGTTGCCCCGAAGCCATAAAACATAGCAAGAGAAAACGAGTGTTCCGTACTGTTTAGCGGGGAGTCTGTTCTTCTTTGTATAAGACGGAAAGAATCTTACTTTGTTTAACCACCCCAAAAGAATCCCAAAAGACATCTCTGACGTGATGTGTTGATACACAAGAGGCCTCCAACAGGAATTTTGTTGAAAATTATTCAAGGCTTGCTGTGTGGGGTGCAAAAGTGAATTGAGGCCCTTCAGCTACTTCTGATGGATGCCCAGATCCATATGTGGGTTGATCTATCATGGCCTTTTGGGGAACAGGGATTTTGATCAACTACCATATATGGCATCTTGACTGGAGTGTGCTCGGGCTTTTCTTGTGACGGAAGAAAGACGTAGTCTTATGCGGTCTGATCTGAGATGAAACTCACCAAACCACCGGCCCTTTTGTCTGGTTTTCTAGATCCTGCTGCAGCTACCCTCTTCATGGCGTAGGGTACGGGCCATTTCAAAAAATGGGGGAACTCTCTTGTATCCTCCAAGAAACCAAGAAAGGGATCCCTAATTGGTGGATTTTCTCATGCAGGTTGGGTTGGCCTCATCATTGCAAAGCCTAAAGAGGTGGCTTCTGAAAGAGTGGTACTTTGAGGAGTTCCATAAGGCGTGTGGATGATGCTTTGAAACTATCATGTGCAGGGGTTGTCTTTGGACGCAACCCTTCATCCTAAGTATTGTTGAGGGGTTATTTTCCGCACCTTCACAGCATTTGGGGCAGATCTAGTTTTTACAGTTAGTTTCAACCTTACTCCCGAATCCTACAGTGGGTTACGCACCATGATTGTAGTGAACTAGGATCTGCTACGTAGCTCAGGAGGGCATCGGCGGGCGCATGGTGCATGCATTCTCCCGGCGTTGGCCAGGCTATACGATGGCCGTCTTGGGTTTAGGGTTTTGGGCATAGGGTCTAGGAGTCTGGGTTTGAGGTTTTGGGTGTAGGGTTTAGGTTGGGGGCTCTTCGGGCTTCAGAGTTTATAGCCCCAAGCATGACCAATTGCGCATTTTGGTTGCATATGGGGAATATCTAGCGTTCGGAAGCGGCGGTGGTTGGTTTCTTTGGTATGGGACTATGCTCTTTCGCTTCGAGGGCTTCAGCTGTGATCATCCAGAGGCATGCGCCCTTTCAAATCATGTTCTCAAAGCAGGAGCCACTCACCTGCCTGCTCCCCAACAAAAAATGTCAGCACATGCCCAAATCTATTTGGAATCATGGTAAGGGGTCTTGCACGCGCCGCTGAATGGGCTGCTTGCACTTGAGCCTAGGTGTAGAGCCAAGGACTGTACCACAAATATGACTTATCCGACATATCCGCTCTGCAGCAAAGAAACGCGGAGGCTTCAGACTACAGTGTTTGTGCAAACGGTGTTCTATGTGTATAGTTCTCTGTCTATCTTGGGCAAAGAAGCCAGTTTCAGATAAGGCCGATGTCAGCTTGTCGTATGCACCAGCTCTTGAAGTGCACCCAAATGATAGTTTCCGAAAATTGGGGGTACCTTTTTGAGGGCCCCCCCTAATAAAGATTCTGGTATATTAGGGTCTATATTGGGGTCCCCCTATTTGGGGAGCAAAATTTGCGGACACCGCCTTGGAAAGGCGCAGATCTCTGATCTGCTTGGGAGTCCTGAAGGGGAGGGAGGCCTCCAACTCAAACCCTACGCCCACAGAGCACATCCATCCTTTGATATGACGAGTCCCCCATCCCCAACTTTTCAAGTTTAGAACACTAGCATTGCTAAGTACTAGTTACACATGAAGAATGATGAGTTACTGTCACTTACTTGCCATACACTTACTACTATAATTACTATAGCAGCCCTAGACCCTAAGCCCTAGACCCTAAGCCCTATACCCTAGCCCCTAAGCCCGAAACCCTAAACCCTAAGCCCTAGACCCTGAACCGTACACCCCAAACCCAAAAACCCTAAACCCTATATCTTAAATTGTAGCCACCCAAACATGCACTTTGGCCCAGGCCCCCGGGTCTGGTATGGCCCTTACCAGTCGGTGAGCAGGGAGACCAGGTCGCGTTAAGGGCTTAGGGCTTTGGGAGTAATGGGTTAGGATTTAGGGTCTGGGATTTATGGGGTCTAGGATTCAGAGTGTAGGATTTTGGGTGTAGGATTTAGGGTCTAGGATTTAGGATTTCGGGGTTTAGGGTTTGTGATACCTTTTTTGGTGGAACCTTCATGGCCTCTCCTCAGTTTCGGGCCCCCCCTCACATGGGACCCCGTGAAGGATTCCCTGATTCTTCTCATTTCGAAGTATCGTGCTAATAGTAGTACTAGTAATGATAACTGACATAGAAATAGCAATAGTAATAGCTTTTGGAATAGGAGTTGTTACACGGGGATCGAAAATGCGCTCTTTTGCGCCCTCTCGCGCGCGTGGATACTCACACATTGCAACATAAATCCCGCGTACACTATAACCACTGCACATAAGGAACTACATTTGCTTGCGCCTGGCCTTGCGCGAGCTTGCGCGCGCATGGTTTTTTCAACCCATCGCAAAACCCTAATGCGGCCCTTGGTCTTGCCACAAGAGGCTTGGGTTTAGAACGATATTGCGGCCCAGGAAATGTTCGCACACCTCCACACGCTACTCTCCGAGCAGGAGGGAAAGTCACTTCCCTGAAGTTGTGAAAGGCAATCTCTGGCAACAAAACTTGCTGAACTGCATTAAGCATGAAGATGGAAATACGCTTGGGCAACGGTTGGTTCTTCCAGTTGCTGATAATTGTATGCTCATATTAGAAATAGTAGTACTACTACTAGTAGGGAATACTAATAGTAGCTAATAGTAATACGAATAGTAATATGAGTGATTTCAAGTCAGAATACCCTTCAGCACCCAAGCCTCCTCCCACAACTGAGAGAAGGTCTTCAAAGATCATGG